GGTCTATTCAGCTGGACTGGCTGGACTTGTCCCCTCCTCTCTGTGAGGCTGCTAGGCCTCATCGGCCAGGCCCATTAGCCTTGACTGTGCCCAGTCTCTAACTCTGGTCAAACAGCCGGAGAATCTCAATTGGCAGGGATCTGGAAAGGTTTTTAATTCAACCCCTGTCCACCTTCTGCTGATTTCCAGAAGCAGCAAGGAAAGGTTTTCTAGATGGAAACTGCAGCTGGGTACTACAGAGAGAGCCAGGTTTGGGTAAGCACCAAGGACAGGCCCAGAGAGGGAAATGAGTAGGGATAGGTATATATATATAACAGGAGGCATGAAGACCACAGCCTGAACAGTTGAGGAAGGTTGCTGGAGAGAGGTTAGCTGAGAAGCAGGAAACTAACTGTAGCAGACCCTGAGTTCAATCTCCCTTGTCTAGCTCTGTTGAGTTACATGGTGCTATCCTCAAGGGAACTTGTGAGGAGAGAGGCTGATAAGTCCAGTCATAAAGCAAAACCCAAAACCAAAACAAACAACATAACCCAAACCGACTGCTGTCTAGTCAATTCCAAGTCATACCAATCTTATAGGACAGAGTCGAACTGCTCCGTAGGGGGCTGTAATGTTTATGGACGAGAACTGCCAACATCTTTCTTCTGCCAGAGCAGTTGGAGAGTTCGAACTGCTGGCCTTAGGTTAACAGCTGAATGCTTATGCGTCTAGTCCTAGCTAGGCAGAAAAAGGTACATTGATACCACTCCTTTGTTTTGATGCCCATCTGGCTTACCCCAGCTTGGTTTGAGATGATACAGGTAATAGCTGAGCTTGGAAGCAATTACCAAACAGGACCCAGGCTGACCTCCTGTGAGAAAACTAAGAGGAGGTCGCTCCCAGCCCCGGCTTTCTCTCTGTGCACTATCTTCAAGCTCCTCGTCCAGGAATACAGAGCAGCAGCAGGGCAGAACTGAGGCCAAGGGGCAACCAGACAGGAGAGGGTATGTGAGTACAGACCTGGTAAACCCAGTCTGGAGGTGCCCAGAGTTGTCAACTGCAGCCACAGGGCAATGGGGCAGCTTTCATTTTGTCTAATTGCATCTTCCTGCTGAGAGGAAGGAAGGGATAATAAGGCTTTTCCTATGCTGGGGTCAGAAAAGGGAGAGTGAGGTTGGGAACCCTCCACATAAGAATAGAAGCCACAGGCCAGAGCACATGCTGAGTTACTATCACAGAAGGCATGAGTTAATATCCAAACACTATGCAATTCCCTCATGCTGTTTATTGGGAAGTCCCTGTCAATGTCTTCGAGGTGAGTGGCAGTAAAACTCAAAGGGCTTGTCTTTGTCTTTGGGGGCAGCACAGGAGCCTGGAGTGAACTGACAGTATTCTGCAGCCAGAATACTGAAACCCTGCAGGCTCCTTCTTGCAGACAAGATTTGAAGGACCTCAGACGAGACTCACTAAGGTAGAAAAGCAGACCCAGGTATTTGAGAAAGAACTAAAAATGATTTAGGGTGAGGGGAGGGCATAGCCCTCAGTTAGCAGAACATTCTATTATTAACAAGAAGTGTGCTTCCCCAAACATTCAGGTGTGGGCATTACAGCATATCACTATTTTCTCAGTGATTAAAATCCACAGAGCTGGGACGCTCTTTTGCAGACTAATGTGAACTCTGCTCCCATTTCCTTTCGTTTATACAGGAAATAATAACAGAGTCCCTTGCTGTGAGTCAAGGGCTTTCTTCAATAGCTTGTAGATAGCGTTCATTCATTTATTCATATGCTGAACAAAATCTTAACTGAGCATCCACCTTCTATGTGCCAGACATTGTGCTGGATACACAGAAAAATAAGTCTCAGTCTCTCCCCTCAGAGATGTTGCTGTCTAAGGTGGGGCGTAACTCAAGTCAAGTTGGATGCTTTCTTGACTCCCAGCAACCTCATGTGACTGAACAGAACTCCCCAATAGGGTTTTCTTGGCTGTAATCTTAACAGAGGACTCCTGGTATGGCACTGTAGGATAAGTGATAAGCACTAGACTGCAAACCACTAGGTGGGCAGTTCAAAGCTAGGAGCTGCTGCTCAGAAACCCTATACAGGGTTGCTATGAGCAGTAACAGACTCCACAGCACTTAATAACAACAACAATCTTAATAAAAGCAGATGACCAGGGCTTTCTCTGTAGTCTGAATCACCCTTTCAGTTAGCAGCCAAATATTGGACTGTTTGTTCTACTACAGCTCCTTCTAAGATGGGGGACAGGTATGTAAACAGGCATGCAAAACCACGTGTCACTTGGCACCACAAGAGGCAGCAATGGGCGCTATGAGGGCTTGAAGGAAGATACTTCCCTCTCCCTGCCAAGTGACACCCAACAGAACCCCCAGCTGAGTCATGAAGGCCAGCAGGAGTCCAGCTGATGAATAGGGCAGAGAAGGGCGCTCTACAAATGGAACTGCAAACATGACAGCATACAAAAAATAAGAAAGATTCAGTGAAGAGGGAAATCTAGGTGTTTACGGTGTTGAAGCCACCTCATTTAGAAGAAGAAGAAGAAGAAGAATCATAGAACGTATTTAGACAAAGGCGAAAACCAAAAAAACCAAACCTGTTGCCAGCAAGTCAATTCCAACTCCTAGTGATTCTACAGGGCAGATAGAATTGCCCAGAAGGGTTTCCAAGGCTGTGATCTTTACAGGAGAAGGTTGCCAGGTCTTTTTCCCTTGGAGTGGCTACCTTTCTGTTAGTAATCAAGATCGTTAACACTGCACCACCAGGACACCTTAGACAAAACTGAAAGGGAGCATTAATTTCTGGTTGTAGAAATGAGGACAGAGGATGAATGTAAGCAATCGACTCTTTTCCTATGGTCTTATGATTTAATGTACTGAGAGGAGGCCACAGGGACACAGCCCAGCACTGGGGTTATCAGTCACACATCTTACGAGCCACCCTGAAGCTCTCCCTGGAAGGACCCCTCTCATGGGAGGAGGCAGAAAGGGTGGACCTCCCCCAGATAAACTGAGTTAGAGCCACAGTAACTGGAGACCTAAGCCACAAACTTCACGCACTCAATGTGGTCTGCCCACACTGAAGAAAGTCTGTGTGTAGCTAGCTTTTTGAATAGGTAAGGGCCAATGGTGGGAACTTATAAGCAACTCTACTTAGGGGCCAGATGTGGACACAGGAAGAGGCCCACAGGTCCTGGCCACATTCCCTTTACAGCCCACAGAGGCAATCCTTCAGGGAGAGGAACAGAGGAACTCCTGTCGAACTGCTCCATAGGATTTCCGAGGGGGTAAACCTTTAAGAAGGCAGACTGCCTCATCTTTCTCCTACAGCTAGCTGGAGGGTTGAATCATCCATCAGCCTTTCAATTAGCAGCATGACACTTAACCCACTGTGCCACCAGGGCTCCTGTGAATATCAATAGCCACAGTCATATTACCATTCAGGTAGCTGCTGCTGCTCCTGGCTGAACCCCTTTCCCTGGAGGTGAGAGGATGGCTTTACCCAACCTTGGGAAGTAAGGCTCTAAAAACTTTAGAAAAGAATTCTTACCATAGCTCCTCAGATAGAGCCATAATATTGGATTAACAACTCTAACTCAGCAGACCAGACAGTTGTCTAATTAATAAAACTTATAAGGCAGAACAACTTATTGATGTTACAGGCATGACACTCAGTACAGCAACAAAACCCAAATCCATGCAGAACGCCCCATCTTCTGCAGGAAGCCCTTTCTTCGCTAACCTGTATAATCTCTTTCTCCATGCAATTGGGGGCTGGGGAACAAGGCAACATGGTGTGTGTGTGTGTGTGTGTGTGTGTGTGTGTGTGTGTGAGTGCTGGGAGGGGTTAAAGCCAATTCAATCTATTTGTAGTGGTTAACAGTAAGGATGCAGCTTGGAATCCAACTATGTTCCTGGGGAAACGGGCTTGTCAACCCCTCTACACCTCAATTTCCTTCTCCGTAAAATGAGGATTTTAGTATTTACCTCACAGGGTTGTTGCAAGCATTAAATAAGACAATATATGTAAAGTACTTAGAACTGTGCCTGCCACGCAGAAACACTGAGTGAATGCCAGCTGTGATTATTGGGCACTAGTTGTTAAGTGTTGTCGAGTTGGTTCCGACTCACAGCGAACCCTGTATAGGGTTTGCAATGAGTGGCTGGTGAGTTTGAACTGCCAACCTTGTGGTACAAACAAACTTTGTGGTTCAGTACTTATCCTAGAGCGGCACACCAGAACTGGGCAATGATTTTTGTTATTACACCACAAGCTTAGCACAAATAGTAAGTACTATGATCATCATCAAGAAATGCTGGTGGTGCTGTGGGTAAGATGAACCACAAAGCCAGCGGTTCGAACACAACAGCAGCTGCTTGGGAGAAAGATGAGGCCTTCAGCTCCTATAAAGAGTTACAAACTTGGAGCAGTTCTACTCTATCCTATAGGGTCTCTATGAGTCAGAATCAACTCTATGGCAGAGAGTTTGGGTTTGAGGTACTTTCATCAACACTCTTGGTAAGGTGAGCAACTGGAAAGAGGAGCAGAAGGGAGATTTAGATCTTCTGTGAGAAGGGGACAAAGTCACTTAGGATCTTTATGATTTCTGACCCCCCGAATTTTACACAATAAAAGAAAGTGACAGGGATGTTGCAGTATATTGTCACTTGCCATGGTTCCTACTTCTTTGGGTGATTTTATTTCTCAGCTCCGCAAGGCTTACAGAAGGCTGAGGCTTGACAGCCCCCCACCCTGAGAGAAGGCTACAAAAGGGCATAAACTAGCCACAGTGTCCCTCGCCCTGGGGGTAGTGGAGGTGTTGGTGGGCAGGGGATGCCTGCTCAAAGTCTTTCTGATGTTGCCCCTGGGAGGCGGAGCTTCGGGACCTGGCGAAGGCAGGTGGGGAGGGCAGGACCGTCCCTCGGTGCCCCGCCCCACAGTTGGCTTGCCCTTCCAGCTGCTTGCTGCTTCTCTCCCTCCTCCCTCCCCAGCGGAAAACTTACCGCTCCCTTTGCCACTTTTCCACAGGAGACCCAAACCTCAGCCCTACGCATTTGGCTTTGCAGTTTCTTCGTGGGCAGCCCGGACGAAGCCCTCAGGACAGGGAGTGCGGGGGGAGGGGTTGGGAGTGTCGCCTCCCAGGGTGCCAACTCCAGTCCAGCTACTGGGGGTGCCAAATGGGCGCTCACCCCGAGGAGGGGGCGCACACCCGCCATGCGCCACCCTAAGTCACTTGGACGGGCCCGCGAACCGCCTAGCACCGGGCCGCCAAGCCCTCCCCCACCCCCAGACCGGTGCCAGCAGCGCCTGCCACCCTGCTTTCGGGCGGGTCCCAGGCAGGCGAGCCCAGACCCGGCTGCAGGCGAGCGCAGTACTTACTCGGGTCGGGCCTCTCCGGGTCGGGCCGGGCCACTACCCGGCACGGGCACCCTCTCGCCGGCTCGCGCGCTGCCCTTGGCTGTGCCCAGCGCCGACGGTCGCGGCAGAGGCGTCTGTAGGAAGAGAAAAATCACGCCTGCCTTAGAACCCAGCCCCTGCTGTGACCAGAATCTTAAAGAAGGTGGCGACTGGCTCGGCCCCAGAGCCGCGGCTGAGGTGGGGAACTAGCGAGAGAGCTGGTAAACACAGCGTCTGCCGCCTGCCGCCCACCGACAATCCAGCCGCCGGAGCCGCCAGCGCTCCCTGGAGGATCCCCCCACTTCTCCCCCCACCCCAAGCACTGGGGGCCCTCATGGGGGAGCTGGTGGGGGAGGCGGCTTAAGTACAGACTCCTGCTGCTTGGTGAGCACTTAACGAAGTGCTTTACATCCATGGCCTCATCCCATCATCATCTGTATAGTAGCGTTGACCACTCCCCAGTGGACAGAAAGAAAACAGAGACCCAGAGGAGCAAAGCAAATAGACTTGGTGGCGCAGTGGCTCATCGCCGCCGGGCCATTTGGAAGCTACCAGCTGCTCCGCAGGAGAAAGGGTTGGTGATCTGCTCTCCTAAAGATTACCAAACCCAATCCATTGTCCTCCGGTCAATTCAGAATTGTAGCGACCTTATATAGCACAGAGTAGAATTGCCCCTTACGGTTTCCCTGGCTGTAATCCCACAGAAAACAGACTGCCACATCTTTCTGCCACAGACTGGCTGTTGTTAAGCGCTGTGGAGTCGGTTCCAACCCATAGCGACCCTGTATAGTGTTTCCAAGAAGTGGCTGGTGAGCTTTAACAACCAGCCTTGTGGTTCAAACTGACCTTGCAGTCCAGCCCATTAGCTCACAGAGCCACACCAAGACTCACAGAATGGCTAATGGGTTCAAATTGCCCACCTTTTGGTTAGCAGCTGAGTGCTTAATCACTGTGCCACCACAGCTCCTCTCCACAGAGATTGTTGTTGTTAGGTGTGGTCTAGTTTGCTTGTACTAATAGTGACCCCATATCCTGGCGTGGTGCTGCAGGATAATGCGCTGGGTCCCAAGGTCGGTTTGAATCGCAAGGTCGGCGGTTCAAACTCACCAACCACTCCTCGAAAACTTTAGACAGGGTCACTCTGGGTCAGAACCGACTCTACGGCACTTTACAACAACGATACAAAAGAAGGAAACACTGCCATGTCCTTAGCCATCCTCACAATGATTGTTACAACAATAAAGATTACAGCCTAGAAAAACCCTACGGGGCAGTTCTGTTCAGTCCCTACCGGCATCTTAACTGCAATAATAACAATACTGGAAGGGGTCAAGATTTGAAACTAGAGGGATCTGAAACTAAGGATTGTCTGGCTCAAAAGTCACTTCGTGTTTCTACAAAGCAGCATTTGAAAACCTGCGTCACCAGCCTCCTGTTTCCCCATTTTTCTGACTGAACTAGGGACAAAGTGGCAACTCCAGGTCAATTTGCTTGAGGTGGAAGCCCTGAAAAGCAGATTCTGATTTCAGTCCCTAGCACCGGAGTGCTCATCACTCTGTCCCTCAGACAATTCAGTCATTCAACGCTTACCATAAGGGGCACTTGTGGTATAGCAAATTGAGCATCTGTCTGCTAACCACAAGGTCAGTGCTTCAAATCACCAGCCACTCCTTGGGCAAAAGAGGAGACGGTCTGCTCCCATAAAGATTTACAGTCTCAGCAACCCTATACAAGGTTGCTGTGAGTCTGAATTGACTAGATGGCAGTGGGTTTGGTTTTTGGTTTTGGCTCTGTGCCAGACCCTGTAAAAGACTGCAAAGGGAATCGGAGGTAATTTCGGTCCAGATAGCAGTTCAGGGGACAGGCACTGAACCATCTGTTATGCTAGATGTGTCAAAGGTTGGAAGAGTGCAGAGGCCCTCATAGACACCGTTTCCTTGGCAGAACCTCAGGGAACCACTGTCTGGGACAAGGGGGAAAAAGACAGCGGGAAGATGCTCCACCAATGCAAGATTCTGACTCCTTGTTGGTACTATTGGGAGGTTAAGCCCCTGTAGCTTCCTTATGGGAACTGCCCTCACCTCTGTGCCTTGACAATGACATTTGTTTACTCCTTCCTTCCTGGTCAGAATGAAAGCATAACACAGCATTCTTGTCTTTCTATTCTGATCATGTAAAGAAAGCAGTTTTAGATTTGTGCTCCTCTCTCTCTTGCCTTCATCCATCCATCCATTCTCTCAAGTTGTTGTCAAGTGCTGTAGAGTCAGTTCCCTACCATGCCATACCAGGACTCCTCAAGCACTTGATCACTGTCTGAATGCTTGGTGGTTCAAACTCACCCAGAGGTGCCCTGAAACAGTCACAGCCTTGAAAACCCTACTCTGCACACATGGGGTTGCAACTCAAAGGCAACTGATACCTGATAGCTGGAATGAAGTTCTGCTTCATTCATTCATTTTTTTTTTTTTTAATGTGCCAAGCACTGTGCAGGTTCTGGGCACCTTCCCAGTTCTGTGAGAGTCCACATCGATGGTGGAAAGATTACAGGGCTGGAAGTTAGGGAATACTTTTTAATTCTTAATTAGTTGACTAAATAGCTGTGTTACCCTGGATGAGTCATGTAGCTTTTCAGGACTTCAGTTTGCCTGTTGGTCAAACAGGGATAATTACACCTTCCCATCCTACTTCACAGGGGTGTTGGTGGGGCTCAGTGGAGATAAATGGATGTGAGGGAATTTTGACAAGTATAAAGCCACTAGACAAATGTCAGGGATTAGTCTGTCCCCAAGGTGGGAGGGTGCTGCTAGGAAATGAAGCTTAGAAGAAGCCCTGGCTGACTCTCCCAAATTGATTGTGCTGAATTCCATCTTCCCCGAATAAATGATTCTAACCTGGGTGGGAGTCGAGGCACTGTGAAATATCGTCTTTCCTTAGCAGTGTCCATGACACACGGGTTAGTGACGACCTGGCCTTAAGCCTGGGAGATTGTTTTGGGGACTTGAATGGAACCAGCGGGATAGTCTTGGTTCCAGGTCTCTAATTCCTGACAGCAGCAGCAAATCAAGGTTTGCCACAGAAGCCTACCCCACCCCAGGACTTGTAGCTACTTATGCAGAGACCATCTGAGGCCCTCACACACACCCTTTCAAGAAGCCCATTGCTCATGTCAGACAGCAGAAAGTGGCCTTGAGAACAGATTCTTTCTTTTCCCAAAGTAGGACGTTTGGGGGGTCTGTCTGCCCAGAGAGCTGAGACCTACAACAGGGCCTCATAGGGACCTTGGGAGGGTCTTTAACTTGCTTAGGTCACCCCCCAAGCCACCCCCAATACACTTACACTCTTTAAGTCACAATACTATGCTTGTTCTGCAAACACAGATTCAAGGCAAGCCCCCCAAATTTCCAGAGCATTCTTTCCATCTTGCCACCCCAAAGTCAACACACAGTTGTAGACAAATCTGCTGCCTTCTCCCTTTTCCCACCCCCCTTCTCACTAACTTGTCCCCCTGAAGCCCCTCCAATATAAGTATGCTAGAATGACCTGGAGAGCCCGGGCAAGTCCAGAGCTGCACCTCGTATCTCCGAAGCAGAACTAGGATGGAAGTCCGAGAAGACAGGAACAGAAAGCAGCCTGGGCACTGCCCAGGCCACCTGTGGCCAGCAGATCTCTCCGGCGGGGGGGGGGGGGGGGGGAGGCACAGAGCAGACAGACTCCACACCCAGCCTCCCTTGGCAGTCTTGGAGCTCATCCCTCTTGCAGCTGTGGCTCCTCTCAGTGTCTTCATACATTGCCTTGTCGCATCCATCTCGCCCAGGCTGCTCCTCTTAATAAAGTGCCCCCGCGGCCACTCCAGACAGCCTGATGTTATCCTTCACTTTGCAGCCCTTTTCTCAGCGTGGGCCACACAACAGTGATTCAGGCCTCCCGGGTCACAGTACAGTCTCCTGGGGGAAATACTTCCTGAGTGCCCAAGTCAGGGCTTGACAGAAGCTTTTGGTGTGGGAGTATCAAATATTCCTTCCTTGCCCCTTTGGGGTCACCTGGGTTCCGGATTCAGAGTGTTGCCCTGAGTCTTCATGCCTACCCTAACCTGCATCATCCTTCCTGGACTAGCTGCTGCTGCACGCCCTTAAACGGCATAACCTAAGTCCAATTTGCAAAGCCTGTCAATAAGCCCCTCACCTATACTCCCCCGAAAGCCCAGAACGCTTCAAGAATCCAAAGGAATGAATCACCGATGGTGGAATTTCAGGCACAATGACAGGCAATTGAGGAGACATATTTGATCACATCATGTTTACCTATGTGTAAGGCTGGCCCTGAGGACATTCTGGCATTTTCCCTCGACTATAATGAAGACTTGGGATAATAGCAAAGAAGACAATAGAAAACAAACCCGGCTAGGTAGGAGTAGGGACACCTTGCTGTTTGTCCCAGCTCTACCATTAATTCAATGTATGGCCTTAGCCTTTCCCTTTCTCGCCCTCAGTTTCTCCATGTCAACAAACAAACAAAAACACCAGAAACATGGCATTAGCTTATTTCCAGGGTCCTTTCCTGTCATAAGCAGTTGTGGTGGCATGTACCTTAAGCACTGGGCTGCTAACGGTAAGGTCATAGGTTCAAACCCACCAGCCACTCTGAAGGAGAAAAATGAGACTGTCTGCTCTCATAAAGATTTATGGTCTCAGAAACTCTAGGGAGAAGTTCTACTTTGTCCTACGGGGTTGCTATGAGTTGGAATCAACTTCGTGGCAGTGGGTTTGGCTTGTTGTTGTTTTTCCTTGTGCCAATAGGCTCCCATTTCTGGACGCTGGGC